TTTTAATTAAATAAAATGAAATACCTACTTTAAATTTGAAATTTTAATTATTTTAAAAATTAAAATTAATATACATTTTTTCTTATTATATCTATTTAATGTCATATATTATATAATTATAAATTTATCATTTTAAGTGACATTATTATTTTATTAAACTTTCAAAATTTAAAAGTTATATTAGTTTCGACTAATTTAAAATCAAATCACAATAAATCACATAAATTTTTTTTAATATCTATTACTTTATTTATTAAATTTAAATTTAAGATCTTATTTAAATAATATTTTCACTCAAATATATGAATTTATTTTATTTAGACTTTATTTAAGTAAGGTTTAATACACTTTTTAGTCCCTCTACTATAGAAAAAAGCCATTTTTTGGTCTTTATACCGAAAGAATTTCTTTTTTGGTCCTTACTGTTCACAAATCCGACCCCCTTTTTAGGTGATGTGGCAAGTTAATTAACGAAAACACTCATTCTTTTTTTTTAATTAAATTACGTGGAAAATCCACATGGCAAAAATTGATGACATGTTAAATTTTTTACCTTTAATTACTGATATACCCTCATCTTCTTCCCCGGCTTCTCCTTCCTCCAGCCTTTCTTTTTTCTTTTTTTTTCTTTTACCTCCAGGCAAACCCAGCTCGCGTGTTCGCAAGGAACCCAGCTCGCGTGTTCGCGAGGAACCCAGCTCGCGGGGTTTGCTCCGTCCGTGAAATCTTCAGGGCTTTCCTAGCCACTATAGTTTTGTTTTTTTATCTTCTTTGTGAAATCAAGTTAAATGTAACAGATTCGGTGATATTTCTTCATCGTTTCTGGAATTTCTTTTGATCTTCTGTTTTTTTCATTTTTTTTTTCTTCTTTGTAGTTATATTGTGATTTCCAGTGATTGTGTTTTGCATTTGCAGATATGCATTGGATGTGAAAATAGAGAGGGCAGAAGATGTTCTAATGCACAAGAGATTTTTTTTAACTCCAGGCGAACCCAAGAGCCTGGGTTCACGAAAAGGAAGTTTTACCGAATCGCAATGACGGACAAGCTCTGTGTGTCACTCACCGTCCCCACACTTGTGGCTATCGATTTTGGATCTGCAGCATCAAAATCGATCTCACCGTCCCTTTCCAGTGATCATCTCGACGGAGGAGGAGCCTCATGAGTCATGACTAAAGCAAGATCCTCACCATCAGATCTATCTGGAACTTCTCTTCCTGCTTTCAAACGATTTCCTGAAAAACCAAAAATCAATCAAGCACAATTTCAAAACCGCCATCACCAGATTTAATCGGAGACTGTAAAAATAGAAGAAGAAGAAGAAGAAGAAGAACCGCGATTGATACCCACGTCTTTGTCACGGTCAATTTCTCACGCTCATCATCCAATCTTAGCACAGTGGGAGGATTAGGAGGAGAAGGTGAAGATTCCTTCTTGGGTGATCGAGACTCATCTTTTCCCCACGATCTGATTTTCAAAAGGCAAAGCTGAAAAAAAAAAAAAAAAAAAA